AAAAAAAAAAAAAAAGGAAATAAACCGACCTTGCGGCCGCCATCGATGAGAATCGGATGATCACACAAGTGCAGATACAGGTCCTTTTTAGAACGGAATTTAGAAAGCAGGGCATCAGGGCCGTCGACGGCGCCGGAAATCAGATCACGATAATCGGACGGCAGGAACCGACCCCAAACGACGTCGGATTGGGAGGCGGAGCGGAACGTGGACGCGACCGCCGACAGCCGGCACGCGTCCTTAGGGCTCGTGAGCGAGAGGGCGTTGGCTATGCAGTCCTCCGGAAGCGCGTGTATGTCACCGAAACTCTCCACCGCCATTTTTTGACGAGATTCTCTGCAAACCGTCACAACAGAGATATATGGATATCTTGACACTGCGAGGCCACCCTTATATAGTTATATATATATAGTATTGTATTTCCTTTGCTTGTATTTTGTACGCGTGTTATTTAATTAAAATGACCAACAAATAGTAAAGGAAATATATGTATAATTTATTAACTAGTTTATTAATAATAAAGGAAAATACTACAGTCTTGTTACGCTACCATCCTGTCGAGTGTTTTAACCGTTGGATGATCCACCAGTTAAAACACCCGGCGAGATTATAACGTAACGGGACCGTAGCATTTCTCAATAATAAATACTAGTAAAGCCAAATTCAAATCTTCACAAATTGAATTATAAAAATGGTTCGTGTGCTTGAATTTTAATGAGTCGAGCCGAGTAACGTAATGAGCTCGATAAATGAGTCGAGCTTAAACAACAGCTCGTTCCGTTTACATCACAACGGTTCGTTCGTTTATTTCCAATAAATAAATAAATAAATTTGTCAAATGCAAAATGTACTGGAAATTCCTTTTTTGTCTTTTCTTTTTTGACTTATTAGTCTTAAATTGCACTTCCTGCGTCTTACTTTGACAGGAAACAGCTATTTCTATATTATTTATTTTATTTTATTTTATTTTAGCTTAAAGAATAAAAAAATATGTTGGTTTATTTGAATAAAGAAGGCATTTGATGCGATATTGCTATATGCCTAAAGAAAATGCAGTACACTATTAAAGGAGGTTTCAAAAGGCATTTAAAATGGTGAATGACATGAAGGGATGCAATCTAAAATGGATTGATTTATATCATTAAAGTCCCACAATGTTGATGGCTAATTTGAAGTTCTTTTCTAAAAATAAGTTAAATAATATTATTTCAAAAAAGTTAATTAAAAAGGCTAGAAGAATGTTGATATTAATATGTTAAAAAGAACATTAGTCTCACTCTCATATTTGGGGGTCGGATATTCTTTTCATTTTTATTTTAATATATTTATGATATGAAAGGCATTTAAATATAGGGAAATGCTAAGATCCCGTTACAGAATTATTTCGTCGGGGATTTCTAACTGTTGGATCCTCATTTAATCGTCATGAATAATTGATCTAACGGCTACAAATCTCGACGGAATACACCGTAACGGGACCGTAACATCTTCCATATATATATATAAATATATATATATATATATGTGTGTGTGTGTGTGTGTGTGTGTGTGTGTCTTGTTAAATACATCTATCTATTCTCTCTAATGAGAAGCCTTATGAGATTCATTGTAGGAATACATAATGTTTTATCTTTTGGAACCCTAATTGGTTCCATGTGTGGGTAAATAACTTAACCATGAAGACTCTACTTTAATAGGAAAAATCTATTAGAACTTTGGACTTTATATGCCATGATAAAGAGAGAAAATTCTCATATATAAAGGTTGACCTGTCATGTTATAAATATGCATACTATTATAATAATTTGATATAATTTTTTTTAAAAAAAAAAATTATATCATTTCATAATTTATAATGTAATATGTATTTTTTTATAAGAAAAAATAATTATAATACGGGGCAATGCTACAACTCCGTTACAGAACCATTTCGTTGGGATTTGTACCAATTAGATCATCGTGTAACCGTCGTGAATAGTTTATTTAACAATTACAAATCCCGACAGAATAGTTTTACCGTAGGAGATTATAATATGACTCGTTACCTTAAGTGCTAAGGTTTTTTTTTTTAAGGGTACATTTTATGATAACTTAACCATCAAGTATTATGCCATAAGTTATAACTGTAACTTTAATTGAAAGGTCAAAAAATTTACAAGTAAAAGAATAAAGAGACTACTATTCTTTTAATAACTTTTAAGTGAAAGCCAAAGAAGAAAAGCAGGACCTATATGGGATCTGACTTCTATATCATAATTACTTCTTCAATAATAATGAGTAAATCATTTCGATTTTTTTACCAAAAAAAAATCAAAACTTAACTTGCAGACAAAAAAATATAGGGAAAAGTGGAAGTGGAAAGAAATGAAAAGCACGTATTCAGTGAATACATTTTCTGCAATTTTTAATTGTAAAACGTATTTTGTGAATAAGTTTTCTTTTGTAAAAAAAATGTGAAAAACGTATTCCTTGAATACGTTTTACAGTG